GTGGGGGGCCTGGGGATATTTGGGGAGGTTATTTGGGTCTGGGGGATTTTGGGGAGGTTTCTTGGGATGTTAGGAAGGTCCTTGAGCTGCTACAGGGGCCCTGGAAGGAGGAGTTTTGGGGTCCTTCCAGGGATTTTGGGGAGATCTTGGGGCGATTTTGGGAGGTTATTGGGGTCCTGGGGGTGATTTTGGGGTCCTGGGGGAGTCCGGGGAGGTTCTGGGGGGGATCTGAGGGGTCATTTGGGAGGGGGTTGGGGGTCCTGGAATTGGTCTTGAAGGGGATTTTGGGGTCCTGAAGGGATTTTGGGGGTTTATTTGGGTACTGTGGGGTATTTTGGGGCCCGGGGGGGGGACCAAATGTGGGTCCTGCCTCATAAAGACCCCCAGATGTGAGTCCCACCCCTAAATGGGGGTCCCCTCAGCTGTGTTTCCTCCCCACAAATGTCCCTCCCTCCCCCAGATCCAACCCCCCCACCCCCAGATGTGGGACCAACCCCCACAGACACCCCCCAGTGTGGGTCCTGCACCCCCCCGACCCCCCCAAAATGTGGGTCTCCCTCCTGCCCCTCCCCCTCCCCAGCCCAGGGGGGTCCAAAGTCCGGCCCTGATTGGCCACACCGCCCACCCCTCCCCCCCCCGCCCCCCGCGCCCAAGTGGGGAGTGGGGGAGGGGCACCCCACTGACCTGTCTCGACTCGGGGGCGACTGAGCAGAATTTGGGGGGTGGTCAGAGGAGTTCTTACCTGCGGGGTGTGGCCTGCCCCGCCCCCAGAGGCACCGCCCCTTCGCTGTGATTGGCTGTCTGGGGGGCCCCACCCCCCAAAAAAAACCGACCAAGCGGATTTGGGGTGGGGGAAGGTGAAATTATTGACAAAAATTAAGCAACGCCAGGGGGGGCAGGGGAGGCTGGGGGGGGGAATTTGGGGGGGAACCCCAAGGTGCTGGGGGGGACTCAGGGTACTTGAAGGGCACTTGGTGCTTCTGGCAGGGAAGGGAACAGCCTTAACAGACTGTTAATGAGGCACTCCTTGGATGAGCTTGCCCCCCAAGGTGGTGTTCCTGTGGGGCCAGGCAGGGAAGGGCACACAGAGATGAGCTGTTTGCAGGGGCAGGGCCAGGGATGGTCGATGGTGGGAAGTTGGGAGCAGAGAAGAAGAAAAGAAAAATAAGATGAAGCAAAGGAAATGCTCCGGGCTGTCTTGGGGGGTTGAGCTGCCAAGCAGCCCTGGGGCTGAGCAGCAATGCCTGCAGTGGGACGAGAGACTCACCTGAGCAAAATTCCTCATGGGCTTCAAAGGCCACCAGGAACCTGAGTGGTTTTCCTCCCGTCACCAAGGGAAGGTCTGTGATCAATGGGCAGAGACAATTGTTCATGTGCATCCCAGTAATGTCCCAGTGCTGGGCACAGAGGGGTGACAACAGTGACTGAGGGGCTGCCAGGACAGCTCCAGACCCACCGGTGACTTCTGGGCCTGGTCATCCAGCCAAACTTCCATCCCCTCATCATCATCCACTGCTTCAGTCTGGCTGGGAGATGATGGGAGGCCCAGGGCCAAGGCCTTCCCAAAGTCCAAGAGTGCCCCATTCCCTCCTTTCCCCTCCCAAAAAGCACTTTCTGCTGCATTTTTCTTTGCCCTCAAGCACCTGGGGATGACTGTGGGAGGGCTTGTCCTGTCACCTTCCCAAGGACTGAGGGGGAGCTGACCAGTCCCAAATTCCCCCTCCGGAAGTCAGATTGGGCATTTTCCTTTTCTAAGGGCTTGGAAACCTCCCTGATTGCTCTGTCTTTTCTGAGACA